CCCCGGGGCCGGCCCGGGGGCTGCCCCAGTGCTGTCCCGGGGCCGTCCCCCGGGGCTGTCCCGGGTCTGTCCCTGGGCTGTCCCATGGATGCCACGGGGCTGTCCCGGGGATGCCCCTAGGATGTCCTGGGGCTACCCCTGGGCTGTCCCGGGGCTGCCCCGGGGATGCCCTATGGCTATCCCGTGCTTGCTCCGGGGCTGCCCCGGGGTTGCTCCGGGGCTGTCCCGAGGATGCCCCGGGGCTGTCCCGTGGCTGCCCCGGCCTGCCCCGGGGCGACAACTTTTGGTGTCATAACGGGGTCCATCAACCGTTAGATCGGAGCTCTCTTCGCAATCTACAACCGCTACTGGAAGGGCAACAAGATTTGGTGTCAAAATAGGGCCCATCAGCCGTTAGATTGAAGCTTTCTTTGTGATCTACAACTGCGACGGGAACGGTGACAACTTTTGGTGTCGTAATGTGGCCCATCAGCTGTTAGATCGAGGCTCTCTTCACAATCTACTACCGCCACTGGAACGGCGACAAGTTTTGGTGTCGAAACGGGGCCCATCTGCCATTAGATCGAAGCTCTCTTCGCGATCTACAACTGCCAGGGTAACGGCGACAACTTTTGTTGTCGTAACGGGGCCCATCAACCGTTAGATCGAAGCTCTATTCGCGCTCTACAACCGCCACGGGAATGGTGACAACTCTTGGTGTCGTAACGGGGCCCATCAGAGGTTAGATCGAAGCTCTCCTCGAGCTCTACAACCGCTACAGAAACGGCGACAACTTTTGGTGTTGTTACTGGGCCCATCAGAGGTTAGATCGGAGCTCTCCACGTGCTCAACAACCGCTACAGAAACAGAGACAACTTTTGGTGTCATTACGGGACCCATCAGAGGTTAGATCGCAGCTCTCCTCGTGCTCTACAACTGCTACGGAAACGATGATAACTTTTGGTGTTGTTACGGGGCCCATCAGAGGTTAGATTGAAGCTCTCCTCGAGCTCTACAACCGCTACGGAAACGGCAACAACTTTTGGTCTCGTTACTAGGCCCATCAGAGGTTAGATCGAAGCTTTCCTCGAGCTCTACAACCGCGGTCTCGAAGTTTATGTGTATATTTTTTTTAATGTTTATCAAATCTTAAAACATTAAAAAGAAATCCCCTAAGAAAAGAAATATTAAATATTTAAATAAATATTTATATTTCCATTTTTTTTCAATATTTCCACCGAATTTAAAGTACCGACAATATAATTGATATCGACATTTTCGCTTTCAACTTCATGGCCAAGTCAATGAAATTAGAAGGTAATAAACGAATTACAATCTTAACACGAAAAAATAAATGAGGAAAATAACACCAGTTACATGTCATTTTATCCGTGTAAACGACATCAAAACTTACGAAATTTAACACAAAAAGCTACACACTAGTTTATGGATTTAAACGACGCTAATCTATAACACCAATAGCCACAAATCGTTTAATGCATTGTTTGGTTGGGAGGAATGCAATGGACAGGAAAAATCATTCTGATAATTCCATTGTTTGGTTGCTTTATTTTGACTAGGAAAGGCTTTCCGTGGGAAAGCTAATTCACTCAATTTGAGTGAATCCTCATTCAGGTGGGGGGTGACTCGAATGGCCTTTCCATTCAGCCCTCTTCTTAAGACATGTTATAAAAGGCTACTACCACTTCTTAAGACATGTTATATTAGACAAATATCAAGTGTTTTTTTTTTTTTTCATGTGAAAAAAATAAGTAATTAAAAAAAACCCTCAATCTGGGTAATGAAAAAGGTTACTACTGCTTTATTATACATGTTATATTAGACAAATATCAAATTCTTCATTTTATGCAAGAAAAAAATACTGCAATGGATTGAGAAATTTGGAAGTTAATTTACATATTCATCATACTATTTTATCTGATTTTCTAAACAATTTTGTTGCTGATGGATCTATAATGTCTTTCTTTCTTTTTGGGTAGTGGTGTGAGGCCTTTTGGGGTCTCTTTACTTGTTGCTGGGTTTGATGACAATAGTCCTCAACTCTTCCAGGTAACTTTCATTCTCAAGATTTTGTTTGGATTTGTTCAAGAAAAAACTTCCTTCTTAATCCTGGTTGCCTTTGATTTTTTCCCCATTTGGGTCTGACACTTTAATTATACAGAGATAAAAGTATTTCACATCAAGTACTGGCAATGATGTTTCTAATCCTGGTTGGCTTTGATTTTTTTCCCCGTTTGCTTTTATTTTCTCTAGGTCGATCCATCAGGCTCATATTTCTCATGGAAGGCCTCTGTAATGGGAAAGAATGTTTCAAATGCAAAAACATTCCTTGAGAAGAGGTATTTGAGACAGAATATGGTCAAAACTGGCACATACTAACTAAATTAGGCATGTTTATGGCTGCTGAAGTGAAAAATGATTCTTTTAATGCAAGCCCTTAGTTTGACTACTATTTTTCTGCCCTTGATGAATGTTTCATTTTTATTTTCTTTCTGATTTATCACTATTCCATCTCTCTCTCTTCCATCATTCCTTAATTTATGAGGTAACAGCATGGCCCCCTTGCAGAAACATCTAGAAATTTGATATAGGACTACAGGACAAATTAAGTTCATAGAAGAAATAGACAAATGTGAGAATTGGACACATGTCAATATTCAACACTCATGCCTAGTCATTTACCACAACTCTCCTTTTACTTTGAGGTTGCAACTGTTCCTTTCTATGATATTGTAGCCATCCTTGTCTAGCTTTTAAGTCAATTTGAGTCAATAAATGTGAATATTTAAAGGGACATACATTTTTATCTTTTAGCATTTCTTAACTCTCTCGTCCTTTATACTTCTTTCTCTTGTTTTCCCCTCTCCTTCCTCCTCCCAATTGATCCTAAACATTTTCTTTTGCCTTCTTTTCTATGTTTCCTTTTCTCTTAGGTATACTGATGATATGGAGCTCGATGATGCTGTGCACACAGCTATTTTGACTCTAAAGGAAGGGTATGTAACTGTTAAACCTACAAAGCCAAAACCGCTAAGGAACTTATAATGGTTATCTTTCTTGATCTTGACGTCCGTGGGGTGAACGTTGACGTCTTGAATATTTCTGCTGTCTATCAAGTTATGTTGTTAATGTAATCTTAATTAAATGATATGCACAATTTCGTAGAAGTGGCACTTTGGACATTTAATATCGACTTTCATGTCTTTCCTCAAATTAGATTCAATGAGATATGTTTTATACGGAGAGCCTCTCCGTGCCCACTTTCGGCGTTTGTTATCCCATCACCACCGATGCCCTCGATGCACTCTATGAGAAGGTATTGAAAATTCAGACCTTGATCTTGAATTTTATGTTTTGGCGAACAAAGTAGTCAAATTTTCTTTTTTGCTTGGTAATGCGTTAATTTACATTGTCAAGTAAGGCCATTGTTAGGTTGTTTGTATTGTTTGAAGTGTCGAATTTGTTTTTTGTTGGTGTTTGGATTGTGGGGTTTTGAATTGAATTGCCTTGTGCTCTTTAGGTCAAACCGAAGGGTGTCACCATGACTGCCTTGTTGACAAAGGCCACTGCTATGGCTCTTGCTCAGCATCCGGTTGTGAACGCTTCATGCAAAGACAGTAAGAGCTTTACGTACAATAGTAACATAAACATTGCGGTTGCTGTTGCGATTAATGGCAGTCTTATAACGCCGGTTCTTCAGGATGTTGATAAGGTTTGAAATACGCTCACCTTGTCCACTTTGTTCATGACAGCTTAAGTTCAACGCCTAGTGGGTAACTTGTGTTTGTTGGCACAGATGGATCTGTATCTTTTATCTCAAAAGTGGAAGGAGCTGGTGGAGAAAGCCCGTTCAAAGCAACTTCAACCTCACGAGTACAATTCAGGTCTTCTTTATCAAATGTCTTCGCACATATTTATTGTATATTGCTTTTCATGGTGCTCTTTTATGAATAGATCAAATCAAGTTGATGCAGAAACATTTACTCTGTCCAATTTGGGCATGTTTAGAGTGGATAGATTCAACACTATACTTCCGCCAGGCCAGGTGAGTTGAAAACATCAATGCTAGGTTTTCCTTATTTCACAAATTGAGTAGAGTCTTCTGCTCCTTGTGACAATTAGTACTGCGCTGAAAGTTTGGTTGATGTTTAGGGTGCTATTATGGTTGTTGGAGCTTCAAAGCCGACAGTTGTGGCTAATGCAGATGGCTTCTTCAGTGTAAAGAGTAAAATGCTGGTACGTGCAGTTTCTACTTTTATGTTACACTCACAAGGAGTTTTATAAGATTGAAAACAATAAAGTCTTTTCCT